GTTAATCATCTATCTATATAGTTAATTTTACTCATGTACGATCAGCTTTGGGTGCATCAAGTGTCACATGTTCTTCCTATCCTTTTTTTCTTCTTTTTTTGCTTTATCTTCCTTTTTAAATATTTAATAATTTTTAAATGCTAAAAAATATAGTTTTTTAGATTTTATCTTTTATATATGGAATTCGTTTATATAAAAACTTTTCTTTTTTGCTTTTCTCTTTTTATATTTTTATAAATATTTAATAAATGTTTTTTAGATTTTTTTATGTGGAACATACTTATACTGAGAGTGCCACGTGTTTTTTTATTTTTTACTTTTTTATTTTTTTAATATATTTAGTAAATAACATGTTTAGATTTTAATTTTTTTAGACCTACTTGATATCAATGATATGTCATATATTAAGTTATTTGATTACTTGTTTTTCACTTTTTCTTTTTTTTTCTATTAACTTTTTTTAATTTTTTTATATTTAATAAATATTTTTAAATGTTTTAAAATTTTTTAATATGATACTCAATTGATATTATTATTTAAAATATATTTTTCTTTTTTCTTCATAATGTTTTTTAATTTGATCATTTTTAAAGAAAAAATATATTAATGATCATATCGACATCATGTTTAGATTTGATTTTTTTTAGTTTTTATTTGTTAAAATTTGTGATATAATTTTTTTAGAAAATCCCATCATTGAACAAAAATTTTTTTCCTCTTTTTTTATTATTCATTTTAATAATTTTTGTTAATTTTCATTTATTACTTTATAGCCAAAAAAAAAGAAAAATTTTTATTTTATTAAAAAATTTTATAAATACTCTAATACATTGGTAATATTTAAAAATTTTTTTCACCTAAATATTTTATAGGCATCGCAACTTGAAATACCTTAGAATCTTGTCATTGGATAAAAAAGCCATTTATTACATTTTTTATTATTTTTTGTTATTATTCTTAAATTTAAAAATATAAAAATTTAATAGATCATTTTCCTTTTTTTTATTATTGTTATCATTATTATCTTTAGTTATTATATTTTTATTAATTATATTATTTTATAAGGTTAATTTTAATTTTAATAAAATTATCAAAACTTTAAACTATATTTTTTATTATTTATTTTTATTTTCACTTTTACTAAAAAAATAAAATTTATTCTAATAAATTTAAATATTTTAACATGCATAAATACTAATGATAAAATTTAAAATAATACGTAAAATATTAAAATAATAATTCAAAAAATTAAAAAAAAAATTACCTAAACTGGATCGATCAATACTTTGATCAACTTCTATTTGGGCTGGTTAATGCCGATTTGAGCCAATTCAACTAAATCGATCTGAGCTAAAAGGGGAACTAGGTCCTAGGTCAGGTCACAGGTCCACGGATCTTAGGGTCCCAAAATGACATCATTTTGGCCCATAGGTCTCTTATATAAAAAGCCTTAATTTTTTTTGCTCATTTTTCCTTTTCCTTCCAAAAGAAAAATCCAAAATCCTCTCAACCCAAAAACCCAGAGGGCCAGCCCGTTGGTAGAAACCAACACCAACTGTCATATCGACCGTCACATGGTGGTCATCGATCATCCCGTCGATTGTCGAAAAAGTTAAAAAAAAAACTAAAAGATTCCTCTAAGCCCCCTCTACCCCAGTCTTACTTCTGTTTTACCTGTAAACTAACCTACAATCTTAGATAAAAAAAAAAAAAAAAAAAACCCTTTGGCTTCTTAAAAAAAAAACTCAAAATTTTTTTTTGTGTTTTTGTATTTTTCTTTATGTTGCTAGGTTCCCCTCCTCTGAGGATAGTATTTTCTTTTTGTATTTTTTGTTGGCAATGGCTTTTTATTTTTTTTGGACAAGATTTTTTTTTTGTTTGCTTCCAGAAATTGTTTTCAGAATCTTTTGGTGGTTTTTTTCTTTTAGGGCAGAGTTTCTCCTTTTCTTTTTATAGAGTCTCTTCTCCCTCTTTCTTTGGTTTGCCACCATGGAACTTTACTTATAAAGCTCTAGTTGCAACCTTCTACCAAGAAAGGTGTGACTCATAGGATTCCAAGGGTGCAGTTATAGGGTACGGGGGTTAACGGTTGGGTTTTGGGGGGTTTAGGGGAGTGGGTGGCAATGGTGCTGTGCACGGCATCCACCACCAGCTCTTTTTTTATTTTTTATCTTTTAGCCTTTGTTTTTTTTTGTTTTTATATATTTTTTGTTAATGTTTAATTAATAGTAATGTATTTTAATATTAAAAATACAATAAAAGTAAAAATAAAAAAATAGGCTTGAGCCTAAAAATTGAAACTAGGCCTTAGGTCCTATTGAATCAAAATCAAGCCTCAATCCTAAAACTTGAGAAACCTGGTGAATTTTAAACAGAGACCCAATTAAAATCCCGAACAAATTTGGTGTCTATAGCTAGTTGAGCTAAACCACATTAAATTGCTAATTTTTGTGTGATTAATCAATTGTTTAATTATGCTTCTACTTGCTTGATTATTTAATTAGATTGGAAATTTTCTCACTACAACTAAAACCAAAGTTGTTATGATTCTAATAATATTTAGGGTCAATACCATAAATAACCCTTGACCCTAATTTAGAATTTTTTTTAGTTTAGGTCTCGCATTAAAAAAAATTACAATAACTCAAGGGCTATTTAAGGTATTATCCTTTATATTTAAAGGTTATATATACTTAAAGTTGTTTTGGTATCAATTTTAAATTTTTAAAATGAATTTCAATCAAAATCTAATTTGCAATAAGTGATATGATTCTTGTAATATTTATGTATTCATGATATTCTTTCAGCGTAACTTATTAGCGATCTTTTACTTTCATCCTCAAAGAGATAACAAATGAGGATAGTGCATATAGATCATATTAAACTTTAGCATAAGGGTAGCATTTCACATACTATTCTCTTTATTGCAACATTGAAATTAGTTAATCATAACAACGAATTATGTAGGAGTCCACCACTTAAACTTGTGGGTTCTATATGATTACTTTATGAACCCTACAATAAGAATTATAATTGATTAATTGTCAATAATATGATTTGTATGATAGGCATCCCACTTAAATCATTGAGTGAAAATTTCATATTTAAGCTTGAATATTTGGGTATTTGTAAAAACTTATGATAATTATAAAAGAACAGAAAATAGGAACTATTTTTACTAAAACATAATAAATAGTACCCGTAGTCTTTAAATTTTGGACTATATATCATTTTGGCTTAAAATTTAAAAATCTCATATGTTATTTATTCAAAAAAAAAAAAGTCCAATATGTATTGTGGAGGAACTAAAAAATTTTATTCTAATAGAGTCGAGATGGATGTAGTAGGCCAGAATTAAAATATAATAATTCTAAAATTAAAATAGAAATGGTTAATTAGAAATAACAAAATTTCATTTTGATGAGTAAAATATAGTTAAATTTGCAAGGTTGTATATATACTCGTATTTAGATGAAGAGAACTTTTATTATTTAAAGAGTAAGAGGTTTTGAATTTGTACGGTATGAATACTCTTTATATGGAGAGATTTAGACCTCGGTTTGTATTGTGTTGAAAATAATTTTTACGTTCCAACTTTAGATATAATTTTAATGTTAAATAAAAAATATAGTTTTTCAATTTAAAAAACTGATTTATAAATTCAAACAAAAAATTTCTTGATAGATATTTTTGTGATAAAAAATGTGTTTGAAATAAAAAATTATTATATTATATTTTTATTTTTAATTTTTTATTATTATTATTATTATTATTATTATTATCAAACATTTCAATTACACATAATAATTTTTCACGACAACACAAAACACCTAAAATTTTTAATTACACTTCTTTTATAATATTTTTAAACACTTTTTTTTAACCCAAACTTTATTCAATCGCGAGGATAATACTAAACTAGGCCTTAGCACCTTACCTATCTCGTTTATGAAAACAGCAAATTGAAAAGGTCCAAAATAAAAGCTTGGCTTATTGCAGAAGAGCACGGTGAAGACCAAGACATGCTAAGGCCCCAAGTCTTGACTTCAATGTCCTATCATAATTTCGGTTGTCTTGAGTGTTGACGAGTTCGTAGTGTGTATAGAAATCTATTTAAATAATGCTTTATGCAGACTCAATTTCTTCAATATTTTATGTTACCTGTTTTGATATACATAGATCCCATCACAGCCATAGATATGAGAAAATTCCATTTTCTTTCGCCAGCGTTAATGTTCATTCACTATTTCATGGTTAACTACGCCATAATTATGAGAAAACTTAACGGTAGTAGGGAGGAATCCCACTACTAGCACTACTTTTGGTGAATGATATGCAAATCTAGTATAAATTCTCCTTAAAGTTTGCAGCCTGTTTTGATCTGGAAATGGAAAAACTTTCTTTCATCATAAATTTTTAAATAAAAATACATAAATATCTTTACTTACATATTTTTATTATTATTTCATTTTGATTTTAAGTAATTTTACAAATTAAATTTAAGTTACTTTGATTTGTACAATAACTAACTCAGAAGTTTAAAAAAAACTATAAATTACTTTTTTTTGACAAAAAAGATAGAGCCATTACTATTTTGCAACTCTCTCTTGTAAAACGTGGAGTCATGGGGCCTTAAAAAGTGTACAAGACAAAAAAATTAAAAGAAAGAAAGAGAAAAAGACAAAGAAAGAATGCAAAAAGATAAATTAGCTTCGCCAATGCTTGTAAAAGGAGATCAAAAAAGATTAGAGGGCCCAAAATCAAAAGCTTGAATCATTTGTTAATTGTGAAGACCAAGACCAAACCCAGAACTTCCTCTTGAGGTCTTAAGTCATATTGGCAACTTATTCCTATTTAAGAATTGCTGTTGATCAGAGTTCCGTATACACCTGCCATTTCATCGATTTGGATTTCCTTCCACAGACATGAACATGAGAATATTCCATTTTCTTTCGCTAGCCTTTAGTGTTCATTCATTGTTTTCATGGTTTGCTACGGCCATGATTGTGGAGGAACCTTACCACAGACCAACATGCTCTTCTCGAAATTTAAGCACCAAATCATTGATCCTGCAACAGCATCTTAGCCACAACATGGACCATCATACTTCTGTTTGCAATTGGGTTGGTGTCTCTTGCGCATCTAGCATAGGAGAGTCCAACACTTTGAATCTTACCAACATGAATCTTACGGGAACTGTCCTCCACAATTGGGAAATCTCTCGTTTTTAGTATCTCTTGATTTGGAGTCACAACCAATTTCCATGGCCATCTTGCCGAGAGAGTTGGGGCAATTAGTCGTCTGAAACTCATCGATTTAAGTTCCAATTTTCTTAGTGGGGAAATTCCTTCATGGTTTGGGAGATTAAAATAAAGTTTTATACTTGAGTCTCCAGAACAATAATTTGACAGTACACATCGCCTCAATCACTAGCTAAAATGTCACTTGAAGATCTTGGATTTGAAGTACATCTCGTTCAAGGACACATTCCACCGAGATTAAGTGATGCTTACGAAATCTAACAGATACATTCGTCTGGCATTTAATCAAACTTTCTGGCTCTGTACTTCACTATTTATAACATTTCTCCTGCATATGATTTCTCTCTTGCATTCAATAGTCTATCTGGTAGCTTACCAGAAAATATATGTCGCCATTTTCCCAATCTTGAGGTACTTTACTTGACCTCAAATGAGTTTTTTGGTCAAATTCCATCTAGTATAGATGAATGCAGGTGTCTTCAAAATTTGTCATTAAGTATCAATAGATTCAGTGGCAACATTCCAAGGAGTATTGGAAATTTAACGAGGCTCAGAATGCTATACTTGGGTGGAAATAATTTGGAAGGTAAGCTTTTTTTTTTTTTTTTTTTTCCTTTGATAATTTGATAATTTATTAAATTAGCTACTTTATTTATAATTAATTATTTTCCTATTAAATTAAAACATGACTAGTTTTATTTATTTTCTTATCAACATTGAAGTTTTTGTCAAAATAAACTTTATTTGATAATTTGAAATTACCGTAAAAGAATTACTTTTATAATTTGGAAAGTAAGTGCTAAAATTAATTTAATTATTGATATCATGTTAAAACTCCTAAATATTAACAGTGACCATGAAACTCATGTTATTTTCTTAGGTAAAATTTCTTGGCTGAAAATAATTTTTTGTATATTTTTGAAAAATTAATTTAATTTTTGGAAATATTCAGTTTTTAAATTTAAAAAATAAATTTAACTCTTAACCATAAAAAATATTGTAAATTAAATATTCTTTAGTTACATGGCATAAAAAGGTGAATCCTTTTGAATTTTGAGTTGAAATTTGTCGCATGACATGTTTCATTGATTTTTCATTGATGGTTGATGAAATATATGATTTTGAAACAATTTTAGAAGGTTATGGACATAAACTACATTTTAAAATTTGTGGATGACAATGAAATATTGCACAAAAGTTATATATAATTGGTATAGGTTGCTAAAAAATGAAAAGAAGGTAAAGGACAAATAGAAAAAATTCAACCAAATGAACTTAAGTTTCTTTTATGTTTTCCCCATTATGACTAAAAATTTTGGTATTTAATCTCTTTTGAGATAATGTTTAGAATGAGAATTTAATTATCTAATTTAATCAATAATCTCATAAAATTAGGAGAAAATGACTTCATAATGAATAGTGATGCGAAGCAAAAAAATGCCTCGTTTTGCTTGACCCAGCCTTTGCAATTCGGTTTCTGTTATTTTCACAGGTGAGATCCCTTCTGAAATTGGAAATCTTTTGAGCTTGGAGATATTTGCTGCCCAAAATATGAGCCTTGTTGGTCCAATGCCAGCTTCCATCCTGAACCTTTCTTCCTTGAAAGAAATTTATCTCTATAACAATAGTATCTCTGGCAGTATTCCCTCAAATATTGGTGCTTGCAGCAATCTTCAAAAGTTATCATTATCTTTTAATCGGTTCAATGGATTCATTCCAAGAAGTATAGGAAATTTAACCAAACTTGAGGAGATATATCTAGGAGATAATGATGTAGAAGGTAAGCTTTTGCATTTGATTATTTAGATTTCAATTGATTGATATTTATTACTATTTATATTAGAAAAAGAATAAAAAGAAATAAGTAAAAAATAAAAATTAATAGAATGACCAACATGAAAATAGTCATATTTTGGTTTTCTTTTATACTTTTCTCATTTTGACTCAAACTTTTGGTATTGAAAAAATTAATTATTCCTTTATATTTTTTAACATTGAAGAAATTAGGAATTTCTTGTGTAATTGAGTTTTAAATGAACTATTTTCTTCCTAGAACTTACATTTAAAATTTGAAATAAACATTTAATAGGCGGATAAATGTCATTATTAAATTAGTTAACCAAACTACTTTTTTATTTTTCCTTCTTTTATTTTTTTTCTCTTTTTTGTTTTTCCCCTTTTCTTTCTTTATTTTTTAATATTTCCTTTTTTCCATTTTTTCAAATAAACAAAAAATTTGATAAAAATAATTTTTTGTATTTTTTGAAAACTAATTTATATTTTTTTTGGAAATAATCCATTTTTAAATTAAAAAAAATAAATTTAAGTCTTAACCATAATAAATATTGTAAATTAAATATTTTTTAGTTACATAGCAAAAAAAAGTGAATCATTTTGGTTTTTGAGTTGAAATTTCAGTCGCATGGCATGTTTCATTGATTTTTCATTCATGGTTGATGAAATATGTGAATTTGAAATATTTTTAGAAGGTTACGGATAATTGGGGTATATTTTACTCAAAAATGAACAGAGAGTAAAAGACAAATAAAAAAAATCAACCATATGAACTTAAGTTTCTTTTATGGTTTCCCCATTATGACTCAAAATTTTGGTATTTAATCTCTTTTGAGATAATATTTAGAATGAGAATATAATTAACTAATTTAATCAATAATCTCATAAAATTTGGAAAAAATGGTTTCATTATCTAATTTAATTATCTACTTGACCGAGCTCTTACAACTTGGTTTTTGTTATTTTCACAGGTGAGATCCCTTCAGAAATTGGAAATCTTCTGAGCTTGGAGATATTTTCTGCCGGAAACATGAGGCTAGTTGGTCCAATACCAACTTCCATCTTTAACCTTACTTCTTTGAAAGCAATTTATCTCTATAGCAATAATCTCTCTGGTAGTATTCCAGATAATATATGTTACTCTCTTTTCAAACTTGAGGTGCTTCACATATCCCACAACGAATTTTTTGGTTACCTTCCATCAAATATTGGTGACTGCGGCAATCTTCGAAATTTATCATTATCTTTTAATCGATTCAATGGACACATTCCAAGAAATATAGGAAATTTAACCAAACTTGAAGAGATATATCTAGGTTATAATGATATAGAAGGTAAGCTTTTGCATATGATTATTTAGATTTCAAATGATTGATATTTATTATTATTTATACTGAAAAAAAGTATAAAAAAATAACTAAAAAATAAAAATTAATAGAATGGCCAACACGAAGATAGTCAAATCTTGGTTTTCTTTTGTTCTTTTCTCATTTTGACTAAAACTTTTGGTATTGAAAAAATTAATTATTCCTTCATATTTTAAACATTGAAAAAATTAGGAATTTCTTGTGTAATTGACTTTTATTGCATTTTAAATGACCTCAATATTATTGGAATGTTTAGAAAGTGGATAGTTTTATAATAGTAAGTTGTTGTTCCTTTGTAGGTGAAATTCCATGGGAGATTGGGAATCTTATTTCGTTAGAGATATTACATGCATCATTTATGCGTTTAAATGGGTTGATTCCACATGTCGTCTTCAACATTTCTTCTTTGAAAAAAATTGAACTTTCGAACAATAGTCTATCAGGTAATTTTATTGTAAACATTTCATTGCTTTTATGTTTAAAATTGTTTACTTTAGTTTTAAAAAAGTTTACTTTAGAATTATAAAACAAATAATCATAAAATTATGAAAACTGTTAAACAAATGAGGTGCCATTGAAAGGCTTGAGAAATGATTTTCTAAACCTTTTTATCTTATTAAATCAAATGCTGTTTCCAATTAAATTAGGGAAAAGCAAAACAAAGACTCAGAGTAATTTGAAAACCAAACCTAAAAGTCGAAATTCCATCTTTTGGAAAATATTTTTAATTTTTTAGTAAACGTTTTATGATTGAATGATACCCTAATTAGGATGCACACCAGTACCTAAGACTACAAGGTAGGCCAAGGTGGAAAAAAGTTAGGCACCCAACACTTGCGATGCCAATATGGCTATTATTTATTATCCCATTGCAATTATATATGGTAAAATTACTTGATTTGTTTTATAATGTAATAAAAAGTAAAATTCACGTACTTTGTTAATTACCCCCATATTTATTTAATACCGTCTTACTTAATTTATTGTTCCATCAACTTAAAGTAGTAATATAATATTTAATATTTTTATATTTATTTACCTGCAAATATTTAAAATATATTTTTTTTGTAACAAAAAATGTAACAATGTATTTCATTCCTTTTATATCTATTAATAGTGTGTATCTACGTGGAGTAGTTTCAAAGTAATGGTGAACTTGCATATAATTAGGGCATATGTGGAATGTTTCATAAAAATTAAATCATATAGATATCATTAAATTGATTAAAACTGTTAAGTATATATTAAAAGGATTATGAAATTCAAAAGTTCATGATGAGGGATAAATTAAATAAAATTCAAATGAATATATTTGATATTCATCATAACAAAGTTATAAAAAACAATAATATTCAGATTCTATAAAAAAACAATAATATTCAGATTCTATAAGTATAGTCAAAAGTTAATATGCTGTAATCATACAAAATTCACATGAATGTATTTGAGCTATTTGTTAACTACCCCATTTTTTTCCCACTGCATGGAATTAAGTGAATGTTGTATTTTGATATTCTGGATATTGAAAACAATAAAAGATGATGTAATATGTGTATATTTGTTTAATTTTATATATAGATGATAAAAAGTAAGCTAAAAATTTTGAAATTTGAAAAAAAAAAAAAAAAAAAAAAACCTGAATAGCAAGAAGAAAAGAATGAAAGAAAGAAAGGTACATATAAAAAGTGTATTCTAAAATAAAAATTGCATAAAAAATTATCATTTAAACCTGTATTGTAATGATTATTTAATTTGAAGTAGGAAGGAAACAGTCTTTCCACATCAATAAAACCAAATTAAAAACCTTTTAGTGTTTATTCCCTCAAATATTTGTCTTTTAACACCAATTTAAAGTTTCATTAAATTGGAACTGATCCATTTTGTAATTTTCTATTATTAGCTAATGACATTGGTCAATTCATTTTCTAGATTTTCTAAATTTACTATTTATTAACAACACTTAATATTTTATTAAAATTAATATAATTTTATTATTTATTAACAAGGTTTAGTATTATAATAAAATACTAAATTTAAATCTTCTATAATATAAAATTTTTATTGAATAGATAAGGTAATTTTAATTTGAGCATTATTATACTACATATAAATAATAAATTTAATATGGAAATTAAAAATTAGATTAAAATTACTATAACATTGTATAGTAAGTCCACTCTTTTAATACAAAAAGTAAGGCTCATACGTTTACTTAGCCTATATTATTTTTTTACTCAATCCGTTCTTTTAAGACAAATGAGTAAAGTTTATATGGTAATTGTGGAACAAACCTATGATTAATTATATTTAACAAAAACCAATTTCAAAAAAATATATATTAACAAAAACCATTGTTTTAAAATATAGTATTAATGATTTTTTTTAGTCGTACTCCGTTCCTTAAAAAAATCAACATTCAAAATTAAAAGATAAGCATTCTTCACTTATCCAACCACGTTTCAATTTTCAATTCGTCCCCAACTACTATGCTTTTATCGTAGGATTGTTTTAATATAATGTATAGATTTGTCTAAAGTTATCTGACTTTTATTTGGAGTATTTCAATTATATTTTTTTTAACTATAATATTACAGTTATTATCTAATCATAATAAATTATTATATAAGGATCATCACTTATAATATGGGTTATATATAAAATTTTGATAAATTTCACATAATTTTAAATTATAATTAATTAATTATATTATAATAATTATAAATTATATGCTTTTTTTATTATATGCAATTAAAATAAGTGCTACTTTTACCCTTTTTGTTGTCAAATTAGGGAATTTAACTGTTCTTTTACAAAATAAGAAGGCAAAAGTTATGTAATTTTTTTTTTTTTTGCTAAGCCATATTTTTATTAGAGATCAAAAGACCATCATAAGTGAAATACAAGAATCTTACCAAGAAACATAGTTAA